AAACAAAAAAACAAGATCGCGTTCGGCGTCGACGTGCACTTGTTTTTCGCAGCGCGACATTCAGGTCGTGTGCACCAAAGATGGCGGTCTCTCCCTCACGCGTCGGCATTTTTTTTATAATGTGTGATCGGGTCACATATGTAATGAAGCAAATTCATTCATAATTAGTGATTAGAAATTACACCGGCAGACTCGGTGACAGGGACTGGTCATTACGTTGCTGTTGAGTATTATCCGTGTGACTCGCTACCTCGCATCGGCGTTGCATTATAACGCTCACGATGTCTAATCGTTCTCTACTCTTCCACCAAGTCCTTACCACCCAGTTGACAGCCGAATCAACCGACCGCCGATCATGGATCACTACGCCGTTCGACCGCCAAACGAGGACCCGGCCGCCCAGGGGAGCCACCCCACAAACGCTTTGTGCGGACCAGGCCACCGTCCCCACCACAGCCAGGAACGCCGGCCGGCCGCTCTACGGAATGCCCCGCCAGCGGCTACTGAACACTGTCTCCGCACCGGCTCAGGACCGTTCCACCGGTCGGCCCACGTCTCCGAGGCCACGCCGTCTCATATATGGCGGGGCGCCGGGACAGCTCGCATACAGTAAGTGGAGCACCTTCCTCGATGATGTGCTCCGCTTCCGGCGGCTCAACCCTGGATTTACGGTGGTGCACCTCGATGACACCACCGCCATCCAGATAGTTCCGATAGAGGAGGCTCAACTTCCCGGGGTTCCGCTGGAACACCAGTAATGGCGCCAGCGCACCCACAACGCCGACGGTACCTCCACCACCACCACGACGGCACGGACCACCGATCACCACGGCGGACGACCACGACGGACGACCACCACCACGGCGACGACCACGACGGACGACCACCACCACGGCGACGACCATGACGGACGACCACCACCACAACGACGGCACGGACCCCCACCACAACCACGGACCACGACAATGATGACGACGACGACAATGGCGACGACGCCAGATTTTTTTTAATAAACAAAACAAAAACAAATAAAAGATATTTTTCAAATAAACATTCATTTTAGTTCAGGCCAATTTTAGTTAAGTTTAGTTCAGTTTTTTTCTGTAACTCTAGTTTGCAATAACATTTTAGCAAGGGTCAGCACACACTACTTACTCAACAAAAATTCTCAAAAAACAAAAACAAATATAAAACATAAATAAAATATAAGAAACTTAAATAATAAAAATATGCAACCTAAAATTGAGCAACTTTTTAATGAAAGATATAGATAAACGTACAATACTAACCTTTAATTTGTTCGCTTTAAGATAACAGCTCACAACTTTTTATAGGTAAGGGGGTAATGTAATGAAGCAAATTCAGTCATAATTAATTATTAGAAATTACACCGGCAGACTCAGGGACTGGCCGCGGGGGATTAATCCGTCACCCGCCTCATTAGTGTCAAAGACTAGGCCAGTGGTCAGATAACCCCCTCCCCTATCTGTGAAAGTTGTGACAGTTAGCCTTGGAATGTGTCTAACTTGTGGCACTACCTAAGTCACGTGATACGGGGAAAGTAGTATAAATAGGGCCCCTTTTGAACAGAAAGGGAGAGAGAGTCGCCTACGCTAAATTTGTGAGTATGGTTTGGTTTCTGCATTGATTCGTTTGCTTGTTATGTTGTGTCTGTAAACTACTTTGAGTTTGTAAGCTACTTTAAACTGCTAAACTATATTGAGAATTGTGTATGTGTTATCGTCTAGTTAATGCAACAAACCTTTACGCGACATTTGCTTCCTAGAAGGATTATAGTAATTGTAGTTTGTTGGTAAAGAAAAATAGAACTAAGTGTTGTATGTTACATCTTGTTTCTGTCATACGTTTCTCCACGTCTGTCTATTAATCGTGTTAACTAAGGGTATATATTACACGCGCCAAAAGTAAACGAACCTGGTACACTATGCGACACGAGCTTCATTACACATACATATGACTCCAACATTATGGTTTTAACGCTACTAAATGTAGAACACTTCACTAGCATAAACTAATGAATTTCCACGGCAACTACACTAACTTGTTGGGGAGGGGGTAAATGATATGCGAACTAGGGCACGACTTTGCTAGGACTTGTGGTAGGGTTTTCTGGACAGCTACAGAGATAACACTAGTTAGAGCTAACAGGCTGGTGAAGATCACCCTGATAATATAGCCACTAACCAGCCAAAACAATTAGCAATTTTTTAGAAGTGGGGGGGGGGCAAGATTCAACATGGAAGACATTTGACTCATGCCCAGTACAGTCATAAAAATAGATTACTCACTGGTCACGGGCATGTTATGCTTTTATCCGACATGTGTGATGACAGGTGATGATAAAGGTTAAATGCGCAAATATTATCGAGCCCTTTACATGTGGATTGCATATCTTAACGAAAATACATTATTATAGGGAAATAATAGCTCGAACACTTTTTTTAATAGGTAAAGGTTAATACTATTATTTACACATGATCTTAATAGTCCCCCTAGTAGCAAAGCCCAAATAACCCTGGTCACACCGATTGTGACCATTTCATCCAATCACAATCTCTCGTAGCTTCCCCTATAGAAAGTTCTCGTTTAACGTAGAGAGTCTATCAGGATCAACAAGAAATGAAGCTGTTGTTCCAGCCCATACACTCTTACAGCAAACGTAAACACACTACAAAAACCTGCCTGCTTTCATGGTACAACATTTTCTATTCCCTAGTCCCACCTAAAAACATCCTCTGCTCGCATCAATATGGCAACTTTATGGCTACAAACAGCTGGCAACTTTACAGCTGGCAACAATATGCCAACTGGCATCAATGTGCTCCAACTTTACGTGCATGTCAGGCTACAAACTCTTGTTAATGCGTCTAGACACTTCAAACAAAGCATTTGCAAACAATAGTTGCATCAGCAAAACCAAATTAGAGGCAATTACTAAAACTCTCACTTCCAAATTCTTCTTGTTACTGTGGAGATTTTAAAGGGGATGACATCCTACAACCAGAGACCAGTTCAACAGCAACAGAGATAGAAAGTTCCCCTAGCGACAGGTAGAAAGTTTCCCCCCAACGACACAGACAAGCACGGGGGAGGGGGTCCCATAGCTACCAGCTGTGGGAGGTAAAGGAGTCGCGACACTATGTGCATGCACGGGGCGAGGGAGTTGCACCCACCGAGCACGTGGCGGACAGGTGGGGGACGCTCGGACATATACTGGACCAAGAGAGTTGCATCACCCGTGCACGTGTTAAGCGAGGCGGGTGACAACACACAGGCACCTGAGGCACGTGAGAGAGGGGCACTGCCAGAATCCTACGTCACCGCAGGGTCCTATATAAGCAGCCAAGATCCAGCGATAAAATCAGTCGGTCTTCGGACGGCCACGAACGAACGAACGAACGAACAAACAAACAAACGAACGAACAAACAAACAAACAAACGAACGAACGAACGAACGAACGAACGAACGAACGGAACGAACGAACGAACAAACGAACGAACGCACACACGCACGAACGAACGAACAAACGAACGAACAAACGAACGAACGCGCTCGATGGAGCGCACACACACCGTCGGAGGGAGAGCCACACACGAGCAGGACGACGCCCGAATATACTAAGGAAAATACTAAATCTTATACTAAGGAAGGGGCCCGGAGCTATAGCCTACCCGGACAGGGAGACACACTGCCAACCCACGAACTCGCGCCGAGCCACGCAGCACACGACGGGGAGAGACAGACGAGGAGCGGCGCCGGGGGCTATAATATTAACCCGTAGAATAGCTAAGAGTTAAGTTCAACGTGTAATAACCTAACGAGGTAACGTAAACGTGACATGAGTAATCTATATATATATATATAGATCTATACGCTATATTTGAGATACGTGCAGTGAATGTTATTCGTATACGATAAATTAAACCATCCGTTGTATAAAGACTATCTAAGGACTTGCGTTCATTTCACTCTGGGGTTTTTCTTGCTACTGCATCACCGTCCTACCTTTACGGTTAGAGCGGAAAATGATCCCTACACAAATAAATTACAGGTGCTAACCACAGCACGTGTGAAAATCCAGTGTGGCCACCCATAGGGCCACTACATTACTGCATATCGTCAGGTAATGTTGATCAATTATTTATAGGAACAAGTTGGGTTCAACGTGCAAACACCACCTACGTGTGTACATACGCTCGCTTGCATTTACAACTGCACGATAACAAAGTTCACCCTGAATAAATAAAATTTTGATTGCCCGTTAAATTGTGTAACCACTTTGCAGAACTGATATTGGTACCATGATGACGTTACTGCCACTAGCTCGCAGGACAACCAATATGAGCCTGGCTGCTATCAGCATATACTAGGCTGTATGTATCTAGGTCTGCATTAATGTATCATGACTTACTCAACATCAAACTTTTCGAGTCTATATCTACTTTAGTTTTCTCATCTGCCTACTTTTTGCCTTCTAGGATTTCCTAGGAATTATTCTGATATATGTATTTACCATGGGATCTAGTCAATGTTCTAGAACTTTCTAGAATTTTCCAGAATTTTTAACGTTCTCAGAGATACCTTTCTATGACACTTTAGGTCAATTCCACATTTTCTAAATGTTTACAGTAAATTTCGTGTTAAATTATAAGATATTTCCTCCCAGATAATACATGTTAATATGTTTAGATATAATTTCTAGGCTTTTATATATACTTTGAATGCCCGAGTCACTATGCATCCAGTCATTTTATGCCCAAAAGGCATAAAAACTGTGGGATTGCAGGGAAATAACTGCCAATATTTGTTTTTTTTGCTGTTGTGTCGCCTGTCACAAAATTCCTCAAAAAGTGTTTTTATAGCAATTTAAGTAAAAGCCACTAAAGCAATTTTTATCTTGTCGCCTGCTTAACAATAACAGCGGTAACCACGCCGACGCAAACACGCAACTCTGCGACTTTCCCGGAATTTAACCCACCTTCGAATTTTACAATGCAGGTCTTCTCGCCCGTCTCGCACTGGGCTGCGCCGACGCATGGCGCCTCCTGGCGGGCGATAAAGCTCTTTGCATTCGTCCAACCGACGCGGAACAGCCCGACCCAGTCTCCGCCCGCGGGCGTGATCAGCTCCGTTAGCTTGTACTGGCAGTCCAGCGGTTTGCCCGCGACGTAGGTGTCGCTAATGTCAAACACGACTTGTCCGAAGTCGGACTTCACTAACAGTAACAGCTCGCCGTCGGCCATTTTCCTGCGTTGCACGGAGGTCACGCGAGCATCATCTGTGAACGTGCGGCAAAACCAACTCTGATGTAGTTTCTATTGCACAGGTATTATCAAATTAGATTGCCAAAATATGCGAAACTATATGACGTAGCATGTCAGGTAAACCCATTACTATATGGACAATAGTGGTCTAGTTGATTAAAATAATACATAATACTAGTTATGTTGACATTGTTGTGTGCATGACCTAACATTATACCGGAACTAGATCAACCGAGCCGCCATATACTGTCACTATAAGCTCCACAGACGGCACACTGAACAGGCACACATTTGATACAGTCAGTGTCAGTCACGGCCACACCGAGTCTGTGAAACAACTGAAGTAAACAAATCTTACGCGATCATGCAACGATCGCTCTTCCGTCTTCGCTATTGCATGCCCTTGACTTTAAAGTATAGACGTGGAAGCTAAAATAACGCTGTTTATAACAAAGCAAATCAAAAACGATCCAATTACCTGCTAGAGACCTACCTGCTATAAGCTGTTACTGTTAGTGTTACGAAAGCTTTTGAGTTTAAATTCCAGCCTTCCTCTATCTCTGGCAATGACAAATTTGCAAAATATTTGTGTCACATGTCCATTCTCACCACAGAGATCACATGCCTATTGGCTCAAGAGACTCACGTGACTATCTCACAGACTTACAGTGACGTCAGTCGGTACATGCGCAGTTTGCTTGTTGGCAGAAAGCAGGGTTGTACCAGAGCATATAAATCAACGAGCATATATATAAGTAATTATGAAGCAAGCGTAGGTGGCTTTACATACTTTGTTTACATACCGGGCGGTAGTCGGTAGCCGTATCATGTCTGTTATGTCGAATATATGATCTTGCAGTCATATAGGCCCTAGTCTTATCGGGTTATTTACATTACTAGCATAGTGGCGGGAAGTTGGACTTGCAGTTGTAGTATACGGCAGTTGCTGTATACTGGTGGATAGACTGATAGCTAAGTAAGTGTGCTGGGACTAAAAGTAAAAGGAAGCCTACCTACATAAACGACAATAAATATAATAATTAACATACTCATTAATAATAGATGTACTACAGGTAGAGATAGAATGTAATTAAAAAATGAATAAATTCTGAATGTTGATATATATTGTAACGTGCCACCTTTCTTTACTTTATCATTCCCCTTTTTGTCATGTTTCCTTTGCTTGATCCCTCTTGTGTTATGTCGCAATAACCCCTCCGACCGTTACCACCGGTCTAAGTAGCCCGACCAAATTATGCCGGTCTATAGTATAAAGTCAATATACACATCTTGATGTATGACCGTTTCTTGGAGCTACGGTCTAAGATACGATCGCTGGATTGTGAATTCGGCTGAATATACACAAGAATATACCTCAATACTCTTCGCTTAGGTTACCTACACGCTTGGGGAATCTTAGGCACGCACAAAATCAGGCATGGTCAGGGGCTGTCTAGAATGCATAGTGAGGGACAACACTCAGCCGCCTAGACAATCGAACACCACGTGCTATCTGACAGAATCCTGCCATAACCGAGCAATACGTACAATTCACTTAAACGCTTATTACGAGTTTGCTCAGAACTTCAACCCAAAAAATTAAAACGAAATATAGTCTCACTTCACAGCGGATATATCACTGATTAAACCAGAATTTTAAACACCAAGATTTTATGTATTTATAGCATAGAAAATTGGATATGAACACATCGTAACAGCAATGCATTTTATCGTGTCGAGATAATAGCAGAATTGGTAATCTTGTAAATTGTCGGTGATGAATTGAAAACAACTGCATTTGAGAGAGACTGCACTATGCTATGGCAGATAGCTGCGGCGCTACTAGCTAGTCCAAGTCTACCGGCTTCAAGATTTCAGCACACGATTGTTTACCAACCTAGTTAGAAAATTGCATGTTTTTGGTGAATACAAAGGTTCTACACAGTATATCGTTACTCTAGACGATGTGCCTACTCAAGCAATAACGGTAGGTATCATGAAAGTGTAAAACACTGGAAAACTCTCGTAAATTACTTTAACAAGGGCTGGAGGCTTTGAACTGTTTCACATACAAGAGCGGTATCATCTGCCGAAATGCATAAAACATGAAGTGTACACTAACAGTTCTCGCGGCATTTCAACGACGCACGGTGTCCGGAGAAACTTGTCGCTGGAGTTTGGCGTTGGTGTAGGCTTGGTTGCTAAACACCTCGGGACTTGGAATGCTCCGTCCGCAGCACGAGTCATCAGCAGCCGTGGTTGATCCTCAGCCGCCTAGCATGTCCGGTGAGATCGACGACGAGACACTGTCGATAAGACGGATAAAATACGCGGTTAAAGTCAACATATTGAGCAACAGTAATATGTACGCCCACTGTCAGTTAAAAAAACTTTTTTTATCAAACAAATTTTGATCACATGTTCTATACAGAGTATAAAGGGGAGAGTGGTGATCTGCACAACATCGCTACACTGTGACTGTGTGTTAGTACTGTACTTTACATGCCATAGACATAGAACATGTACTACCTCCAAATGGTTTTGTGAAACTGTGTATTATATTATCATACCTTTCAGGGCCTTTGAAAACCGATAAAAGTGAAACATTGTTTGTTCCTGACCATCGAGTGTTACAATTAAAGTAAAGAACAGTAGGCACCTCCATGATTTCTCTTGTACGGTGCCATGATGGCCGGACTTCTCACCAATAGACATAGCTTCACAGTGTAACACCGCTTAACCGGTAACAACGTCGCATGGGTAATACGTCGGTGCCGGTAACACGCGTCGCAAGAACACGTCACAATGTAACACGGTGTCGGAGGTAACACGTCGTCACAGGTAAACACGGCTTCACATGTAACACGTCTTCACCGGTAATACTCGGCACCGGTAACACGGCGTCGCAGGAACATTTTGTCACAGGAAACTGGCTTCACATGTAACACAGCTTCACTGTAATATGTCGTCACGTCGTCACAGGTGACGCGGCATCACAGGTACCACATCGTCACATGTAACACGGCTCACATGTAACATGCTTCGAATGTGTCACGGCTTAACGTAATACGTCGGCATGGGTAGAATACGCTGGCACCGGTAAACACGGCGTCGCAGGAACACGTCACTGGTAACACGTGTCACAGGGAACACGTCGTTACAGGGACATGTGTCGTGGAGCACGGCGATGGAACGAATGTCAGGCGAGCGAAACGTCGTTTTTGTTCGACAGGGAACGCCATGCCTCCTGGATCTGTGATTGTTGATCAAGAACTCACTAAAAGAAAGTCACAACAAACTGAAATATTTTACAAACCTTATGAAATTATTGTATACATTTGTACAGAAGATTCTTCACTGTGGTAGTAAGGGTAGCGCATGGTATTTCACCATAGTACTGCAGCGAGAGCTCAATAAATGAATTCGCTGGGCGCAATGTATGGGTAAAACAATTAAACAAAGTATCAGTGACACAGTGGTAGTTAGATAAAGTATGTTAAAAACTATACTCGGAAGCATGATATATAGTGATTTGTTGTTGGTGTTTGTTTAGAAGGCTGGTTAGTCCTGCTTTGTTCTCCTTTTTTTGGTTTGGTGACAGCCTGGTAGCTTATCTCTGCCTGGCGTCGCCTCTTCGTATCGTCGTTCAGTAATCTTGCTGCGACTTTCTTTCCAGCGTACATCGCTAGATGTACATAGCCGAATCCTCCCTGTCCCAAACTACTGCAGCAGCTGAACTTCCTTGTTCGCATTTGATGAAATGTCGAGTACTGCATTTGATAAATCCACGTAGTTGTAGTATTCAAAGTTGACGGCCGTACGTCATTCAATGCTCGTGGTAGACGATTGATCGGCTTATATAGCAGCTATCGGGCTAGCCGCCGGGGTGACAAAGAAGCTAACACCACTCAATTAACGCGTCTCCTTGATGGCTCGCTGAAAGAAACGCATTGGGCTTGCAACACCACCGTGTCATCTCGCTGCTTTTCGTCTACACACGAGACGATGGTTTCGAGCATGGTCATGGAATACGGAGGAGAACGTAATCTGCAGGCAGATCATCAATGCGCCACGTGACCACTAGCTGCGAGCGAAGGCTAAGGTTCGCTAGGCAAGTTGCATCAGCGCTCGAGTACATACACGGCGAGCACATTGCACATCTCGACATCAGGCCGGCTAACATCTCATGCTCGTCTGGACGACACGTCAAGCCTGATCCGATCTCGGTTGTACCAGAAGTTCGGCGAAAATTTCACGCTACGCAGGACAAGACGCTTGGCAGGGTACCACAATCTACAGAGCACCTGACACTGCTTGATGGGAGCTGACATAACGCCGAAGGCCGACGTGATTCATTCGTATGAGCCTATGGCAAATGAAGAGCGGTCAGCAGCCATACACGGAGAGGGATCCGCACGTCGGCTAACTCATACAGGTAGTACGATTCACATACAGACCGATGCCAATGCAGTGATGTACGCACCCGATTCTTCAAGAATCTCTTACGATGCCACTCGTTGCCAGCTGTTGGAACAAAGGCCGCACAACCGCCCCTCAGCCGGAAGGTGCCTCTGCACAGTTTATCAGACAGCGACGGACGTACAGGCAGTAGTCGCCCGCTGCAGCCAAACGTCATCTGAACGCACTTAGAGCGGACGCCGACTTGCTCAGTAAGCTGGCTCTGTGATTTCTCTACGAATGCTCATTGGATCTACGTGACGCACTTCAAAAAGCTGCTCTTATTCTGTAAGTTTGTTGTGTTACGTTATGAAAGAAATACAATTAATTGAAAAAGTAGGAGTTTACTTGTTCTATCGATGTATTTGGCCAATCCGTCGCGTACCTGCCGCGTGAGCTGCAGGCCGCGCACCCTCGCGCCCTGATCCAGTCCACTAGAGGCGACCGTGAGCCTTCGCAAAATCGGACTCAGAGTTATCACCTCTACGCGGATGACTGAATCAGTAAATTAGCAAAGACTGAAAAGCCTATCAAACTAGT